AAGTCTGGAGTAGAGCTGTCTTCTGCTGGACAGTCTTTTATTACAGCTCCTTAATGCTTTTCCTGGAACACATAATGAAACTGAATTTCCTTTCAGTGACGATTTAGAGAAAGAGCTGAGATACATTATCTCACCATGAAGACCTTCAAAAAGAACACACACACACACATGCACACAAAGCAGCACCAAATTCACTTTCATGCACATAAATCACAGATTGGAAAGCAAAGCTAAGCAAATTCTTCACACAGGGGACTGCGATAGTTTATATTGGATTAAAATTGTTCTGATTCCCTCAGTAATGTTAAATTATGATAATTTGAGCTAACTGGTTTTATAATAACGCATCTGAAAAATATGTGGCCACTGCAGCAGATAAGAGTTCCGTGTTATCAGTAAGGAGAAATTACTTTCTGGCTGTTTTTCTTCACAACATTAGATCAAATAACCGTTTTAGGTGTTTCAATTTTCAGAAGCTGACTGGAATAATTATTTTTTAATTTTAACGAACACTTAATCGAGGGGAAGTTCATATTCTTCTTTTTAAAATGCAGGACTTAGTGATTTAATCCAGGAAACACAATGATCTCCTTTTACTAACAATGAGCAAAGGATCGGCTCATACGTGGATTTGTGCAATTATTCAGCTCTTCTGTTAATACATTAATTCAGTGTAACTTCATACAATTAATTGACAGTCTTCCAAATTAGCAGCTTTTCTCCTGCGTTGCATTCAGCTGCTCTAAACTGCAGATAAGAATCTGGAGGCGGGCAATCAAAGAAACAAATAAACTCTTGAAAACAATTGCTGCAGAGCCAGAAGTTCATCCACATGAACTCCAAAAACTCGCATCTAATCTTTTGTTTTAAATTACTGATCGTACGACATTTGAACAAGTAAAAGCTAAAAATAAACGTTTCTACAGGCATGCCCCCTTCTCCTCGGAGAAAATAAGCTCTGATGACTTGCATGTGAGCTCATTAAAGCGCATTGCAATGAAAACTTGGTAATAGAAAGATTTTCAGAAAAATTTGCATTTTGTGCCAAAAATAAAAACTGAGTTTTCACAATGCATCTATAAATTCTTGCAGTGACCCAATGAAAACCTTTGAATAACCAGAACTGGTTTCTTTTCTACAAAATTATGTCAAGTCTTGTTTTAAAAATTCAAGGAATGCATGTTATGTTGTTTTTTTACAGTGCAAGAAGTCATAATTTTAGCCGAGCTTGATAAAATACTCCTGTTCGTTCTTTCATCTTTGCACCAATCAAAGCCCAGAAGTCTCCATCTGAGCACAGGTGCATCAAAATGAAGTCAGTTGCATGAAAAGAAATAGAAAAGTGGTATAAATGCTGTCACAGTCATGCCATGCTTTTTATTCTGCAGATGGCTCAGACGTTTAACATCCACCAGGAAGCACGTTCATGTCTCTGCTGTTCTCGCTGCACTTCACTGGCTCCCTGTTGGCTTCAGAATCGATTTTAAGATTTTATTATTGACTTTATGAATGTTACATGGCCAGGGTCTCCAATACCTGCTGGATCTCCTACAGCTTTATGCTCCATCCAGAACATTTAGGTCTGCTAAGGACAACCTTCAGGTGGTTCCAAGGACAAGGCTGGTGCCCAGAGGGGATTTCACTTTTGTCATCATCACGGCACCTAAAATAGAACCTCTGTGGCGAAATTCAGAGTCCTTCTAAAAACTAACCAGTTTGAGAAATTCTACCATCTTTTTTCTTCTTTTTATTTGATTTTTTAGTCAACGGATCTTGTTTTATATGCACATCATAAATTAAGATTGAACTGAGTGGAATAGTGGTGCAAGATATGAAAGATTTGTCAATTGTCACATTTACATTTCTTTATTTTTGTAAAATTACTGCTGACTTCTTTCAAAGCTAAGGAAGTGAAGCTCAATCAAAAGGAAGACTAGATCTTTAGTTATTTTTAAATCATCCACTTAATAAAAAATCATTTACAAACTACAAAACTTTTCATTATGTGAATAATTATAATAATATTATGAAGTAAGATAATGAAAAACTACGTATGTGATGTGTTTTTGTTTTCTTTAATGGCTGATTAGAAATCACAAGGCCAAGGCAGCTCAGTTGTGTTATTTTTATTTAAACTTAACAGTAAAAGATGAATTTTGTGGGGCGATGGTGGCACAGGAGGAGTGCTAATCGGAAGGTTGCAGGTTCGAGTCCCGCTCAGTCTGTTGCTGTAATTGTGTACTTGGGCTAGACACTTAACCCACGTTGCCTGCTGGTGGTGGTCAGAGGGATCAGTAGCTGACTCGTCTCTGTCAGTGTGCCCCAGGGCAGCTGTGGCTAACATGTAGCTCATCACCACCAGGGTGTGAATGTGTGTGTGAATGGGTGAAAGACTTGTAAAGCGCCTTGGGGGTCCCAGAACTCTAGAAGGTGCTATGAAAAATACAGACCATTTACCAAATACAAGCCATTTGTGAGATAATGAAAGGCAAAGCTGAGCTTTTTAAGGTCCTTCATGTTGACTAAATCATTGTTGGTTAGGGTTCTTCTGGTCTTCTTGTTTAGTGTCAAAATAAACCCATGCATGTCATGGCTGTATTTATTTATTTTATGTGTTTATCTGAGTTATTATTCTGTCTTTTGCTTATTCAGTTTTCCATCCATCCATCTTCTGCTGCTTATCTGGAACCGAGTCACTGAAGCAACAACCTAATCCCAGAACCCGGCACCCCTCTCCTCCAGCTGCCTCCTCCAGGCTTTCCCAGGCCAACAGTGAGATGTAACCTCTGCAGCTGGTCCAGAAGGTCCAAAACACCTCAACAGGCTTTTCTTACTGTTAACTTCTAACAGACATCAAACAGTCAGCTGTGTAGACAATAATCACCCTGCCAGTATAAATACTCCCTAATTTTCAGACGCTGCTGTTTGCTCAATATTGTTTTTGTTCCAGTTTCCTCATCCCTTCAAACTTTTGCAAGTTAAGCATGGTATTATCATTAGATGTTTGTTTTTCACAATAAAGTTTTATTTTATTCACCTCTGTTGACCACACTTTAGGTTCTGTTATGATAATGCAAACCTCCCACAGAATCAGATCACTTATTTTATATTAATAATGTGCTAGTTCTCATGTATGCATGCTCTGCTCTGTTTCAGCAAGTTTTATGTGTTCATTTTGCGAAAACAGAAAGCTCTACTATAAAGCTGTAAACCACAAATACAAGAAACTGTCTATTTTTGAAAATGAATCCTGTCATGTATAATGGTCACCACAGCAATTTTAAATATGTTTTTATGCAAATGTGCGGGTGTCTTCACTCCATATGCCCACTGGAAGTGGATGAAGTCATGATAGTATTCATAATGAGACAGAAAGAACATAAAAGACAAAATAACACAACCTAATTGAAATAATGTAAAAAAAAATAAAGGACAGAGAGAGCTTATTTAGAATACATTTTCATTAAAGTGAGCAACAAATGATGCAAACTGTGCAAAACAGAGGCAACGTTTGTTACAACTTTTTTCTTATTGCCCCAACAACTGACATCAAAATATTTGAGAATCAGTCATTCATGAAGTGCCGCATTGGTAATTACACACGACTGACACATGGTTGTTTTGTTTGAGTTGCATGAGTAACACAAATCAGTGAATCATTATTCAGTCCTGAACTGACAGCTGCTGATTAGATGGGATATTTTCACAACATTTATTAGAAATTTAATTTAACTTGTCATAAGTGAACATTCTTAATGCAGCAAAACTGGCATTTTATTTTAAGTGGACTTCAAGTCCATCTTGTCTTCAAGTAAAACACGTCTAATATTTAGATTCTGTCAGTAACGCAAATAAGTAATGATCAATGGAAAGGAACTTTGGTGTTCATGATTGCACCATCAAAGGTGTGGAATACTCGTTGAAGCAATACATTTCCAGTTGTCTCTTGTAGGAATGAAATGGTAAATGGTTTGTAGCACCTTCTTTCACCCATTCACACCCTGGTGAGGATGAGTTGTGATGTAGCCACAGCTGCCCTGGAGTGCACTGACAGACAGAGGCGAGGCCTGCAATACAATGGCACCACCGGTGCCTTCAACCACCACAGCAGGCGAAGTGTCTTGCCCAAGGACACAACAGCAGCAACCTCTGGTCTCCTGAGCTACTGCTGCCCCTAATGAATGAATGTCTTGTAGGTTGTTCTCTGGGGAAGAAAATCACCAGTGCAACATTTTCAGGAACTAGAAGTGATCCACATCACAGCTGAGTTTTCATCAGGATTTGGAGTTTTACTTCCTGATGTTTGGACATCTCGCTTCAGACTGGATAACAGCAAAGCAACTCTACCAGTGACTTGCAACATTTATGTTTTATCTCCACAAATAACACAAGCCTGGAGATGCTTCTGCTGTGTGGTGTAGTTGCTAACGCTAACGATTAGCTTCTACTACAGTCAAGATTTTCTCTGCTGTTTCCTTGACGTTAAACCAACAAGCACCTTCCCCGTCGCGATGGGTGAGCCCATGACTGTTAAGTGGCAGTGTGACATAGATCCGTCAGGCTTTTCAAATCCTTCCCTGTCTATTTTCAAGAGTGAACAAGAAATTAATGCAGGAAATGCCTGTAGGAGACTCTTTTGATGTTCAGCCTGCATGAAAAACTCAGAATGACAGATAATTGAAAAAAAAAAAGGTTTTTCAGTGTTCCACACCATAAAATGAATTTCTGAAGGTTTTGACATGAATATTTATGAAAACCGTACTTGGTGGCAGATTAATTGATGTATGAATTAACATGGGAATCGGCATTCATGAAGTGATGAGTTGAGTAATGGCATAAATACACAGCAGGTTGACCATCTGCTCCTGCGAAGCATCAAGAAGGCATGAAAAAATCCATCAAATAATCCAACAGATCCTTATTGTTTGGATTAATATTGTTCTCATTTCTAGCATAAACATTGTATTCTTTATCAGGTGTCTCTAATAAAAGTACGAATTTAGTGTCTGAAAATTAAAGCCAATTGGGTCTGTTTTGTTATATTAAACTAGGATCTGTAAGAGCCATAAGCCTCACAGCCAACCCAGAGAATTTATAAGTGTGTTTCACATCTCTTCAAATTCTTAAGCTTAAAGGATCAAAAACAATTTTCTCTTATGATGAGCTTTAAAAAAACGGTCAAATTAAAAAGCATGCTTGTTTAATGAGTTAAATTTAAAAAAATGTCCCCTTTCAGATTGGTCTCATCTTTTTCCATTTGAGCGCATCAGGAGGAGCCCCCCTTTGCACCGGGAATGGATCAAACCGAACCCAGTCACAGTACAGCCTGTTGTTCCGCGCACGATGGATGAAGCGGACTGAAGAAGCAACAGCTGCAGGGACTCGGATGGAAATGACGTTTTAATTATTATCTGGATTAATTCCAGGTGAGGATGTCCGTCTGTACGCGGGAAATGCGCGTCATTGTTATTCATTTCCTTTTATGTTTCTGTCGGGCAATTTAATCTTAAACGTCATCTTGAATTAGTGAGAAAACTGGACAGGAAGAAGATAAGTTCGGGTAATTATTGCACTGTGTGGCATTTTCTTGCTTTTACGCATCTTGGGGAGACATTTGTTGTGTTTTCAAGCTTTAATTAGTGTAATGATCTATCATTTCAGATGAACTGTTCTTCTAATATCTTAACACTAAATTAGAGTTAACGGTTTTTTTATCATTAGTTCTGTAATGATGTGAGGACATTTCTGGCTGAATGTGTGGAAACGGAGAAATTATTTCTGATGTTTCTCTTGGTTTTCACAGTTTGACTCCAGCTGAGGATGGCGAGGAAATATTTAGTCTAGCAGGATTTCTTTTCATTTGAGCGTCCAGTCAGTCAGTGAGACTTCATGATGTTCGACCAGCTGACGGATCAAACGCTGAACAGCAGCTGTCAGGGATCAGCCTTAGATTGCAACAAGAGCGCTGATGATGGAGACGCACTCCAGCTCCCCACTTTCTCCACGGCGGCCAAAGTCAGAGTTATCATCACCTTCACCCTGTGCGCAGTCTCGGCTGTGTGCAACCTGCTGGTGCTGTGGGCTGCCGGCAAAGGAGGCAAACGCAAATCTCACGTCAGGATCCTGATTATGAACCTGACCGTGGCAGACCTGCTGGTGACTTTCATCGTGATGCCGGTGGACGCAGCGTGGAACATCACGGTGCAGTGGCAGGCGGGGGACGCAGCCTGCAGACTGCTAATGTTCATGAAACTGGTGGCCATGTACTCATGCGCTTTTGTGACTGTGGTCATCAGCCTGGACAGACAGTCGGCCATTCTCAACCCTCTGGGCATCACCGAGGCCAAAAGGAAGAGCAAAATCATGCTGAGTGTGGCCTGGTCCATGAGCGTGGTCCTGTCACTCCCCCAGGTAGGAGAGAACTCCTGAGGGTTTATGCACATCAGATTTCTCTAAGAAGATGAAATCAGCAGAGAGATTTAAGTCAAAGTTGTTAAGAAGAAAGGCAACATTTCCAGAATAAAGGTGACATTTTGACAATTAAGGTTGAAAATTTTTCAGTGAATAACACACATTGCAACTAGACAGAAGAATGAAGTTTAGATGTTGAGAACAAAATGTCAAGATATTGAATCAAACAAAAGACCTTTTGTTTTGAGACAGAAAGTCAACTTACTGTTTCCAGACAAACGTCTGAATGGAAAACAGAAAAGTGCAAATTTTCATGAAGCAACACTAATATTTAATTCGACTGACTCACTCTGCAGCAGTAGCTCAGGAGTTAGAACAGGTTGTCTAGTAACCAGAAGGTTGCAGGTTCAATCCCAGCTCCCACCAGAAAATGCTGCTGCTGTGGCCTTAGCAAGACACCTAACCCGCCCCGCTGATGGTGGTCAGAGGAACCAGTGCACCAGTGTATGGCAGGCCTCACCTCTGTCAGTGCACCCAGGGCAGCTGTGGCTACAATGTAGCTCATCATCTCTAGTGTGTGGATGGGTGGATGACTGATGTTGTGAAGCACCTTGGGAGGTTGTGGAACCCTGAGGTCATTTACCATTACGTTGAATTGAGTTGATATTTCCAAGAAAATTTTAACTAATTATCTGTAGAAAAAAGGTGGAATCTCAAGAAATATGTCCACTTACAAAAAAGTCTAAATAGTGATAAAAAGTTGCCATTCAATTCTAGACAAAAACGCTGAGGGGAAAAAAGTCAACATTTTTTTTAGAAAATTTAAAGAATAGCCTGGAACTGAATTATGGCTTCTTAAGCTGATTATATATGTAGGTAACAAGATGGCGCCTGACTCCGGCTTTGCCCCTGTTATTAACCACTCTTTCAAACTTTTCTCTGCATTCTTCTTCGGTAGTGTCCTACCATCCCATATGATGGCCAGACTCCTTTATCCTTCCGAGCAGGATACCGGCCCTCGAGGACCAGGGTTCCCCACTCCTGATCTAAATGAGGGAAAGACAGAGCTCATTGTTTTCCACCCCAGTTGCAGGGCTGTGGGTCGTTATGTTGATCTTGGCCCTCTTTCTCCCTACTCAAAACCAGTTGTCACCAGCTTGGGGTGAAAATTGACCCTGGACTTAAATTTGAGGCTCACATCAACTCTGCGATCTGGTCCAGTTTCTTTCATCTGAGACGCCTTGCAAAAATCAAACCTATGGTGTCTAGAGTCCACCTGGAGCAGGTACTCCATGCTTTTGTAATTTCCAGGCTTGATTACTGCAACTCTCTATATGCAGGGTTGTGTCAGTCATCACTGCGCCACCTACAGGTTGTGCAGAACAGCGCAGCCAGGTTTCTGACTGGGACCAGGAAATGGGACCACATCAGTCCGGTTCTGGCCTCCCTGCACTGGCTTCTGGTCTGTTATTCACACTTTAAGCTCCTGGTCTTTGTTTTCAATTTCTTCCAGGGTGGTGCTCCCCCCTACACACCCACACTCCTGAATAGACATTCCTCATCATGCGCTCTTCGCTCCTCTGACCAAGGCCTGCTCGCTGTCCCTCGTTCTAGGTGTCATACTCGTGGGGACCAGGCTTTCTCAGTTCTAGCTCCATCACTCTAGAACCAGTTGCCACCCTCGGTTAGGCTGTCCCCATCTCTGAGTCGCATAAAAGCCCACCTCTTCTGCCTGGCCTTCCCTGAACATGTTTGAGTTTGGCCCTCTTTAATGTTAATTTTATTTCCCTGCTTTCATTGGTCTCTTTTCCCCTTGTTTTACCCATTTGTTTCTTCTTAAATGTTTAGCCTTTTTTGCACTATTTGAATTGCTTTTTATTATCGATTTATTCATCGTGTTTCACATTTCTCATGTACTGTGTTCAGTGCCTTGGGCTTCCCGACAGGGTCGCGGAAGGCGCTTGGTAAATAAAGCTTTGATTGAATTATTTGAAATAAAATTAATCTAATTATTACTTTGTCTAAACGTTCCAGAGCATAAACTAATAACCCTAAAATAAACTGTTTTCATTAGAAAATACTTATTTTTCAGAAATGGCACTTGAGCCTTTTCTCCCACAGCAATGAATTGTGGGTAATACCCTTCGCCCAAGTGCACATCGAGGTGAAGTGCTGATCAAGGGTGCAAAAGTGGCATTATCAACTTCCGCACTTGAGAATCAGGACACCGGATGCACTCACACCCCTGGTCGGGAGCTGAAGGGTGCAAGTGTGGAAGTGCGAGTATTGGGATTGGGCCAAAAACCATCTTAACTTGGTGATCTTCTCAGTCTCTTCACCACCAGCAGGTCCCTGAGGTCTAGTGGCCATGGGTGTCCAGCGCACCAGGCTAAAGACCAAAGGTGACAGATCATTTGCTGCTGTGGCCCCCAGACTCTGGACCCCCCCCCCCCCCCCCCCCCCCCCAGGCCTGAGAACAGTGGACTCAGTGGTCTCCTTTAAAGAGTAGCTGAAAACTCACCTGTTCAGGATAGATTTTATGTGACCGTCAGTTGATTCTTCATCACTACTTTCTCTTCATGCTACAGTTTCTACCAATCCTGCCTTTCTCAGGATCCCAATACCATTTCTTTTTCATGTTTGTCTTCTTTCATATTTTTTAAAATATATTTTTTCACTTTCTCTCATTTTTATTACAATAAAAAAGAAAAGAAATGAATAAATACAAATAAATTATATATATATATATATATATATATATATATATATATATATATAATATAATATAATTATTTAAAAAATGTTATTTATAGTTCTTGTGAAGCGCCAATCACATGTGAGCCTGCAGGGTTATCAAATCTTCAACACACTGCTCTGACATTTTTAATTTGACACCAGCTGACAAAGAACAGCAGCGTTGTGGACAGAATGGAAGGCAGTAAAAGGAGCAGCCAAGAAGCAAAAGATATAAAACAAACCATTTCACTATGGTTTGCTCATATCAGGAAAGGAAGGCTAGAGGTTTATGTTGAGCTAACAATGCTAACAGTGATTTGTAGTTGGCTCTAAAAAAATCTTAAGCTACTTTTTTTCAGTTGCCAACAACTGGAGATTACAGTGAAATGTATTTATCTATTTATCAACTTGCTATGTATGACTCATCTTTGCTCACTAGTGTTGATCTGTAATCGGCTAGTGCCATGAAACTCATGAAGGAGAGGACTTGTTTGTTTTCATACATGGAGTGCAGTTCCCAAATTTGACCACAGGGTGTCATGCTTACTTCATGCACATTCAAATGTAGACTATTATAAATTGTCATGCAATTTTGTGTTAAAAGTAAAGACATATTACTCTTTACATTGATGTTTAGTGGAACCAGTTGACAAAATGTTATGTAAATTCAGCATTCAATTTCCTAGAGTGTGTTGTTCTTTTTTTGTTACAGTTGTTTTCTTATTTAGCCAATTTTAATAGTTTGGCCACAAAAAGTATTTTTATAAACTGGGACAAATATGGTATAACTAAAAATGACAACATTCAAAGTTTTACTTGAAATAGTCTTTAGACTTTAGTCTCAACAACTCAACTTTGTCCTGCAGGTAGTTTGTCATTTTCTTCTTTATTTTTAAATATTTTCTCAGCATTTAGATTTTTATCTTGACTCTTCCTCCTTTCCTTCCTAGTGGCACTGATACTCCCTCATACACATCAGCCTATGACAGCAGGAACATTCAAGCAGATTTAAAAAGCACTTCCAATAATAAAGCTTCAAAACAAAACATGAATGAGTTAAAGACACTAATTCTGGAGTCCACGGATCAGTCATTAGTGTGTGGAGCAGAAATGAGGCAGTTTAAATTAAATGAAGTGTCTGATCAGGTGCAGTATGTAAATGCATCATCTGCTCTGCAGGCTCCAACTCCCAGAAAGGAAACAACTAATCAAGTCTCAAATCAACCAAGAGCCCAACAAAATTTTCCCAGTGGGACAAAAATTTGCTGTATAACCCACAGTGGACTCAGAAAACAGTTTCTCTTACCATTTACACCAACTTAAATCAATTAATGGAGACCAGATTCAACATAAAAGTGTGTACTAATTTAAACATTATTTACTTGTTATTTCAAACTTGTGATAAAATTATGAAATATTATATTTTTCATGTTGATAATTTTACGATGAAGGAAGTTATTTTTCAGCTGACTGCCTTATCCAAGTTGTATGGTTTTTTTTGCCCTAAAAAAAGTTAAGATGACAGGATGCATAGAAATGAAAACCATCATTTATATGTTCTAGCCCTAGCTGTAGCTGGTTGCTCGTGCAGCCGTCTGCAGTACCAAAGAAAGACAGCAATAAAATGACATTTTCATACCTTTACATGTTATTGAGTTTGGCTGCAAGATGAGACTGTAACAGCACTTTGAAATATTGTTTCCATATTTAATCAGGTGGCATAAACTTGTGACAGCTTTAGATTACACAAAGTGATTGCTTTCTTAGCTTAAATTTAATCTTTGATCTTGTTCTTTCAAGCTACTGTTGCTCTCCTTATGCTAATTGGTCATTTTGTCAAAACGAGCAGCGTTTCAGCTCAGTTTTTTTTTTACTGCTCTGGCTGTTTCTGCAGCAAAATGATCCCGAGGCAATAAACCAAACAACTGCTAAGTCTGTTACATGATGAGGAAGATTTCATTGGGAGTGTTATGAAAGAGAAGAACCAGGCTGTGCAGCTCGTGTTTTCTAATGCAGCACAAACAACCTGAAACCAGTGGAGGGACCTTTAACACAGTGAAAGAATGGGTAAATATTTAATCTTGTGCTGTGAGATGCTTGAGTTTTAACTGAGAACAGAGCTTTGATAGTACCTGCTGGCAAAATACTGTGCGAACAATAATGTTTAAATCTCTGTAAAGGCATGTCTGCAAAATCTGTCAGCAACCATCTGACACATATTATTGAAACTCTTAGGAGGAAGTAATGATTGGATGTACGTCTCT